GGAGTCCTTTGAGAAAAGTGTCAATATCGTGATCGACACTCTCACCAAGTGGAAAAAATGTAGCAGCTTGTTCCTTTAGGAGCAAGTTAGCATTCAAAAGGATCGATTGGAATGCAGAACAAGATTGTACTAAAGTGTTGATTGTTGAGGTGACTGATTTTAATCTTTTTTGCTGCATTTCGTTGACACTGCGTAGGCCATCAATTGTGCGGCGTTGCTGAGCGACGATTGAAGAGGATGTATCAATATGTGGCTCTACGTCGTCTATTATGTCCTCAGAATTATCATTGTGGACCTCAGCCTCTACTGGTATCACTACTTTGAAATTTAATGTACGTTCGACAGATTCGACTCACTTTACTGTGAAGGCCAGTATGCTCACAAGCGTACTCATTTGTGCGGCCAAGTTGCTGAATTGTTGTTTGACAAAATCTTCAAAGGATTCATCATATTTTGCATGCATAGAACCACCAGCATTGGTACCATTTTTGATGTTACTACCCGGTGTTTGGCAGCTCATCTGATCAAAGTAGTGTTCTCTTTCTAAATTATGTGGGATATCATCAGACCAAGATTCTACAGGTGGGATGATGTTGGTATTTTTTGGTTGTTGTTGGTTTGAACGAGAGGCCTTCTTTGTTGAATTATTGGATGGTTTTGGTTCCTTGTCTTTTCCTTATCCATTGTTATTACCACCTTAAGTCACGTGAGCAAAGGTGATATGTGGGTTCACTGCGCCTGATAATTTTTTTGGTGGTGCTTTATAATTAGTAAATTGCGCTGGTTGGAAGCGTTGATATAGATTTTGTATGTTTCAGTCAACAGGAGTTTTTCTTCGTTTGGAGCATTCACTGGCCTTATGATTAGGTGAAGAACAAATTGCACAAAGTTTCGCTTTGGCAGAGGTCCACGTCACGTGCTTTCCATCAATGGTGAGATTTTCATTACTGATAGCGGCTTCCATGTCTTCGCTTGAAATGAAGTAGAAAAAAGTGTGTTGCAAATTACGATAATTAGATCGAGCCTTCGGAATAATCCAGGCCGTAGCGTGAGTTAGATGGCCAATGTCGATGAGATGTTTCGCGTTAGTATTTCTGGGCAATCCAGCAAGTTTCGCCGAAAATTTCGATTTGTCACGGATATCTTTGCCATTTAGGTTGCACATATGTACTCTGACCATATC